GCCTGGAACAACAGTCGAGGACAGCCCAAAGTCTTGCGGCCCTGCACCCATGTAAGAGACCTGGAGGAAGCTCCTGGCTCCTGGCTTTGGATCGGCTCAGCTCCAGCCACTGCAGCCACTGGGGGAGTAAATCAACGGATGGAGGATCTTTCTGTCTCTCCTCCTCTCTGTATATCTCAAGCATTCCTTTTCTAGAAAAGTCTTCCAGATTCCAACCAGTATTTTTATAAAAACAAAACAAAATAAAAAAACTTGTTAATAAAGAAAAAATTCTACTCTTATATAAACTTCCTTTTGTACGTTTCCTAGCATAGCTGTAACTTCACATGTGTGTACCTTTCATTCCTACAAACAGGCTTCATGCCGACCTCCCTTACCTTCAGAGGTTCTTCCTGGGCCATCTGTTCAGTTAGTTTCTCAGTATAGGCATCACAGATCTCAGTCACTTGCACATATCCCTGGAGGCCATTGGGGAGACTGATCACCAGTTCCAGTTCATTCACCTCTTTCACACAACCCAAAATCCGCATTCCCTCACATAAGGACTAGAAGAAGAAAAAAAAAAGTTTACAATATGGACAAACACAATGATAGGAGAGGCTGGGAGATATATGTCTGACTTCTATCTCCAACTCTGACCATTTAAAAGCCACAGATTAGAGCCTGTGTGTGTCATAGCAGGTTAAGCCATTGCCTATAGCACACTGGCTTCAGTCCTGGCTGTTCTGCTTCAAATCTCACTTCTTGCAAATGTGCCTGGGGAAGCAGCAGATGGTCAAGTCCTTGGTTCCTTGCACTCGGGTGAGAAACCCAGAAAGCTCCTCCTGGCTTCCATCCATTTAGGAAGTAAAACAGTAGGTGGAACAGCCTGAGATCTCCCTCTTTCTCCTTCTCTCTCAGTAACTCTGCCTTTCAAAAAAATAAAACCTTTTTTTTTTTCAAGATTTATTTTTCTTTAATTGGAAAGGCAGATATATCAAAAGAAGAGACTTCCATTTGCTGCTTTACTCCCCAAGTGACTGCAACAGCTGGAGCTGAGCTGATCTAAAGCCAGGAGCCAGGAACTTCTGGGTCTCTCACACCAGTGCAGGATTTCAAGATTGGGGCCTCTTCTACCACATTCCCAGGCCACAGCCAGGGAGCTGGATGATAAGTTGAGCAGTTGGGACATGAATTGGTGCCCATATGGGATCTCAGCACTTGAAGGTAGAGGATTAGCCAGCTGAGCCATTGTACCAGCCCCAATAAGTTAAATCAATAGCAACAACAACAGCACTGTAGGACTAGGCAGGGATTTGATACAGTGGTAACACACTGCTTGGGATGCCCACGCTCTATACAAGTACGCCTGTGTTCATGTCCTGTCTACTTCTCATCCAGTTTCGTCCTAACACACCAGGGAAAGGGCAGATGATGGTTCAGGTACTTGGGTTCCCTACCACCCAAAGGAGTTCAACCTAGCCCAATCTCAACTATTGCAGGCATTTACAGAGTGAGCCATAAGTTATACAATATGTCTCTCCCTGTGTAACACTGCATTTCACATATATAAATCTTTAAAGAGTAAATACATTTTCAAAATTTGGGACCAGCATTGTAGCATAGTGGGTTAAACTGTCACCTATGATGTCAGCATCCCATACAAGGCACCAGCTAAAGTCTCAGCTGTTCTACTTCCAACCTAGCTCCCTGCTAATGGTCTGAAAAAACAGCAGAAGATTATCCAAGAGCTCAGGTCTCTTCCACTCAGTGGGAGGCTGAGATGAAGCACCTGGTTTCAGCCTGGCCCAGTGCTGGCCACTGCAGCCACCCAGGAGGTGAATCGGTGGATGGAAGACTGATCTCTCTCTCTCTCTTTCAAAATAAAAATAAATAAATCTTAAGAAATAGTTCCAGGGCCCAGCGTGGTAGCCTATCGGCTAAAGTCTGTACCTTGAACGCACCAGGATCCCATATGGGTGTCGGTTTTAATTCCGGCGGCCCCTCTTTCCCATCCAGTTCCCTGCTTGGGGCCTGGGAAAGCAGTCGAGGATGGCCCAAAGCCTTGGGACCCTGTACCCGTGTGGGAGACCTGGAAGAGGCTCCTGGCTCCTAGCTTCAGATCAGCTCAGCTCTGGCCGTTGTGGCCACCTGGAAAGTGAACCAGTGAATGGAAGACCTTTCTCTCCTTCTCTCATTTACTCTGTAAATCTGACTTTCCAATAAAAATAATAAATATTAAAGAAGAAAAACAAGGAAAAAAACAACAAGATAGTTTGTTCGAAGGAAAAACCAAACTTTGACAAACCTCAACACTAAGGATTTCAAACTTCTCTGTTACAGACTTGTTTTTTTCTCTCTCTTCAGTTTTGAACTTTTTTGTTATTGCTGGCCCTTTCTGGATCTTCTTCCTTTTGGAGGATTTTTCTTCATTGGAAACCTAAAGGGCAAAAAAAAAAAAAAAGATCAACAAAGATCCGACATCAATAAAAAGTAGCAAACCCTGATGTTTCCATGTTGAAACATCTGTAACCGGCTTTGTCACCCCTGCGCTCTACCCCACTTCCCATCTACCCCACTTCCCACCAACCAGTTCCTTCTGCAATCCCAAAGCTTCCATTCAGCCACTGATGCTCCCTGTGGCTCAGTTCCCAGAAACGACCTTCCTCTTCCCCAGTCTCTTCTGTGTTCTTTATCCTGCGACCTGGGATAGACATGGAGCTCCCAGGCTGAGAAGCAGTGTGTAACAGCAAATGGAAGTAAGAGCTGGAGTGACAGAGCTCCAAACTGAATCCCCTAGTCCACTTCACCAAGTCACACGACTTCATTAAATTCCAGAAGCTCTCAGGGCCACAGCTCCTCAGCACGGAACCTCAATCTCTGCCTCACAGCATAGCTGGGCAGAGACTGTACAACAGCGAAGTGGCACTTCAAACATAAATTCTAAATGTCACATTTCCAAAGCAGCCTTGTTAGTTATATAACCTAACAAGTTCAATACTCAGAAGTAGAGCTGAACAGAAAAACAGATCTGGAAAGCATGTTCCCAAACAGGGCTCACTCCTCACAACGACTCCAGCAAGTTTCCAATGAATTTCCCTAAATAAGCATTCCACTTACATCAAATAAATTGTCTTGTTCAGCGGCTTGTTGGAACGATTTCTCTGACTTGTGATCGGATTTCTTTCTTGTACCCCCTCGAGGGAAGCTTTCTTCCAGGGCTGCCATGTTTAAAACTCCTAAAAACAATGTAAAGAACAGTGGTGTGTCACAGTCCTGGTGGCAGATTTTATTAATGCTTTTAAGACTATGTCCTTGATAGCTGCATGTCAGGCCCTGGATGCTTAATTTTTTTAACAGTCTGTGCTTCAAAACCAGATACCACCTGCCAAGAACAGTTAGTTGTCTTATAGATTTAAGGCTGTAAATACACACGGCACAGCTTTGAAGTCAGACACACAAATCAATATAGAACTTCCTACCTTCAAAGAACACACATACTTTTTTGCAATATAAAATATCAACTGGAGGAGCAAGTGTTGTGGTACAGCACATTAATCTACCACTTGGGATTAACATATTAAGAGTGCCAATTCAAGTCCCAGTTATTCCACTTTCAGTTCAGCTTCCTGATAATGAGGGCAGCTTCCCTGTCAACCACACACAAAGTCTGCATGAAATTCCTAGTTCCTCCCCTCAGTCTGGCCCAACCATGACTTCCGAAGGCATTTGCAAAGTAAACCAGAGGATGATGATCTCTCCCTCTGACCTTTTTCTTAAATAAATAAAGCAATTCTTTTAAATATAATTGGGTTATAAACTTCCAATAAAGCATTAGCATTGTCAGAGCTGCCTCATGCAATGCTGACATCCCATCTAGGCACCAGTTCAAGACCTGGCGGCTCCACCTCTGACCCAGCTCACTGGGAACATGCTCAGGAAGGCAGCAGAGATGGCCCCCTATCACCTAAGTGGGAGATCTGGAGGAAGCTCCTGTTCCTGGCTCCAGCCATTTGGGAGCTGCACTGAAAGTGGAACAGCTGGGACAGGAACTGACACCTGTACAGGATGCTGCAACGCCGTGGAATCAGGGACAAGTCAGAAGGAACGCAAGCAAAGGCACAGAAACAGAGAAAGCCTACTATTTCAATAAACACCCACAGTTCATGTAACAAGCAATCACTCAAAAGCTCGCTGCTACTTTTCTTTGATTAATGTTCAACTGTGGCTAACTCTGAATGATCAGGGAGGCTTTTAAAAAAATTATCTGGAATTAGATACAAAAAAGTTACTTTGTTCTGTAGGCAGAGGAAGTATCAACATAGTAATATTAACATATTAACAACAAATATATGTATGTATTTGCTCACTGCAGGTTGAACTAGACAGAGAGACCCCCAAGGGGGAAAAAAAAGGGGGGGGCAGAAGGGTTCAATATAACACAGCAGACAAACCCTGAGAACCAGGCACGGATATCGAGGGAATAGCACATGGGAAAGTTTCGTTCTGACAGTAAGAATGCAGAAGGGCCTGCGAAGGTAAGAGGATTTGGAACTAGAAACAACCTGTGCAAGAGATCCAGCCCGCTGCGAACTCGGCTCATAACTTCCTTTCACAAGAGAGGAAACCGAGGTCCCAAACAGTGAGGCAGAATGAGAGAAGGAACTTGGGTTAATTCCCGAGGATCGAGCCCGGGGTTTTCAGGAGCGCCTTAAGCAGAAAACAGCTTCGGCGTGAGGCTCAAGTAGCCCAATCACCCATCCCACATGGCCAGTGCTAGACGGAGACGCGGGGCACTCAGCGCTGGGAGTGAGGTTTCCTTCCCTCCAGCCCCCAGCCCTCATTCACCTGACCCGCCCGGCAACAGCACCTCCAGCTCCGACCGGCGCGGCTTGATCACCCACGAGGAGCCGGACACTCACCCACTGCTAGGCATGGGCGGGTTCCGCGCGCCGCTTCCGTCACCAAGCGGCGCCCAGCAGGCGAGTCGCAGACAGGAAGCGGAAGGGCGGGACCTGAAGCCGTTGCCAATCAATCTCTGAGGCGGAGGAGGAGGGTCCTTCCGGCCGGGCCCAGGGCGCTCTCTGTGCGCGTTGAAGGACGTCGGCTTCGGGCTTGGCGGCTTCGAGAAGGTGGGTGAGAGGGATCTTCTGGGTCGCACCTTGCGCCTCCTCTTCGCCTGGAACCTGCCAGTGTCTTTTCTTGGGAGTGGGCATGGCGACGATGACGGGCGGGGGAGCGGGGAAATGGAAGGGGGCTGGGGAAGATGAGGTTCGGAGTGTTATCAGGGAAATCTCGGGACGAGGGGGACAGTGACGAGAGGACAGACGCTCCTCAAGGTCTCCCCGCTTCCAAAGACCGTTAGATTGCCCTTTCTAGCGGAGAAGGAGGCTAGCTGCGAAAAGGTCCCCCAAGGTCATCCGGCCTAGGACTATGACCCGTAATGTGGCCTCAAGAACCTCCTCTCTGTGTGCCCCGAAGTTAATTTCGTTTTTTCATCGAGCAGTGCTTAGGGAGCCGGGCCTCCTTGGCCGCGTCGCATCCCCTGCCGGAGCGAGACAGACCAGGGGCGGCGAGCATCCGTTGGAGGCAGAGGGATCCTTGCCTAGCAGGTGGCTAGAGGGGGGCGGCTCCCCGTGCCCGGTGGGGGTGACCCGACAGGACAGAAGAGGAGCATCGGGGAGCGAGTAGCAAGGGCGCCTATTCACAGTGGCCCTCCAAGGAAAGGAACCGGTGCACAGTGGAGAGGGGCATGGCGGGGACACGAGCATGTCATCTGGTTATCAGAGTCGTCAGACACTGAAGTGAAGACCCTCTTCGCCGTTTAACGTTAAATCCCAGGGATGGGCCTTGTTGTCTTTCATGAGTATGGATTTCTGAATTTTGTGTGACTCGTTGATGTCAGTTGTTCCACACGTGAGGATTTCTGATCTTTACCGTCAGGTAGCCTGCAGTTTGCCTAAGGTTACAGACCCGCAGGATTTCAGACTATACGCTGTTCTTTCTGTTACTGGCACCGTTCCCACTGCCTGCCATCGCAGCCGCAAGCACCTAGACGCAGCCTGGGTTCCTATACACACCCTTTCGTGCTGTCAGAATTAGCCTGCCGGGGACTGTCTCCAGCATCAGCCTGTGTCTTTTTGTGTACATTAGAAAGGCAAGGCACATTCATTTTGTTTTATTTGAGACCATTGTTGAATCGGGGCAGGTAAGACACTGCTTGTGACTCCCTCGTCCCACATTGGAGAGCTAGCCAGCATCCTGGATGCTCTGCTTCCACACTTGTTCCCTGATGCTCCTGGGAAAGCAGCGGGGGATAACCTAAGTGCTCGGGCCTTTACCACCCAGGTGGGAGGCTTGGATCCAGTTCTAGGCTTCCAGCTTCCAGCCCCTTGACCATTGCAGCCATCTGGGGAGTGTATCAGCAGATCAAAGCTTTCTGTTGCTTTTTTCTGTAAAGAAGGTATGTGTATGGATGGAAAAAAAGGATGTAGAGAGTGAGTTAGTTTGACTTGGACACTGCATCTTTTAAAGAGGTAGGCGAGGTGCAGGACACTGGCATTTTATGATTTGGACAAAGCGAAGCCCTGTATTGCTAGACTTTCTCGCAGAAGCCTACTCCATAGCCTAAGATTCCGCAAATGAATCATGAAATGGAGTGAGCATTCCTTTAGTTTTAGTAAAATGAAACTATTTATGTAAAAATCGCAACAAAAAGGTTTAACTTAATGAGTTTTAAAAAAGATTTATGTATTTTTATTAGAAAGGCAGATGCACAGAGAAGAGGGATGGGCCCAGCGGCGTGGCCTAGCAGCTAAAGTCCTCGCCTTGAATGCGCTGGGATCCCATATGGGTGCCGGTTCTAATCCCAGCAGCTCCACTTCCCATCCAGCTCCCTGCTTGTGGCCTGGGAAAGCAGGGGAGGATGGCCCAAAGCTTTGGGACCCTGCAGCCGTGTGGGAGACCTGGAGGAAGTTCCTGGTTCCTGGCTCTGGATTGGCACAGCACTGGTTGTTGTGCTCCCTTGGGGAGTGAATCATCGGAGGGAAGATCTTCCTCTCTATCGCTCCTCCTCTCTGTATATCTGACTTTGTAATAAAAATAAATAAATCTTAAAAAAAAAAAGGTATACAGAGAAGAGAGACAGAGAGGAAGATCTGTCCAAGGGCCACAAGGCCAGAGCTGAGCCAGTCCGAAGCCAGGGAGCCTGGAGCTTCTCCCAGGTCTCCCATGTGGGTGCAGGGTTCCAAGGCTTTGTGCTGTTCTCGATTGCTTTCCCAGGAAACAAGCAGGGAGCTGGAAGGAAAGTGGAGCAGCAGGGAGAGGCATTGGCGCCTATATAGGATCCTGGTGCTTGAAAGGCAAGGATTTAGCCACTAAGCTTTCGCACCAGACCCTGATGGGAATTTTCATAACTTGGGCTTGACTCGTCAAGGCTACTGAAGAGGCCTGAGAAAGATGGATTTCCTTTGTTGGTCTAAGAAATGGTGTTCAAAATTAAGGTCACTTGTCTTGAATTTTCCTTGCCAGTTCTTTTCACATGAATGCCTCTGAAGGCTCTTGAATGGTAAAAGGGAAACACTGGTTTCCACAGCAACAGCTCTCGCTGCTCACTCGCCTTCCATTTCATCAAGAGCCAGCTGAGTCCTTGCCACTGCCCACCAATCTCAGCCAGCCCGTCTGTGTTGCCAGAGGACTCAGTGTTGCGGCCTTTGTGGTAGATTGGGGATCATGCAAAGTTTCACCTGTTGCTCTAGTAGCCTTTTCAATCAGTGTTTACCGTTTCTTATTAGAAGACTGTAAGATTCACAGGTGCTTGTGGATTGGACCCTTTGTGAAAATTTGCTGTATGTTTTTTCTTTTTTCTTCCTATATAATTTTTAAATCTCTTGTTTCTTTCCAGTACTGAATTGTTTCCCAAAATTTGATGTGCATCAACATTTAGAGATTTTATTAAAATACATTGCTGGGTCCTGGAGGTTTTTGTTCAGGAGGCTTGGGAAGCACCTGAGATGTTGCATCACCTGGTTTTTGGTGATTCTGATGCCGTTAGTCAAAGGACCCAACTTTGAGCCATTGGTAGATCCCATAATATCTAAAGATAGGATTCTTACATATTTAACATCGCTTGGGGGGCTCTTTCCGTGTCAGTGCACAAACATGCATATACTTTGTATTTTGTACCATAGTTTTTCTTTTTTTTTTTTTTTTGCTTTCATAACAGTATTTCATTGGTCATCCTTGAGCAGTATGATGTGTTTCCACCTTGTAATGTTTTTATAAAGGTTAATTCCTTGAGAGAAAGGTATCCTCATTTTATAGGTAGATATTTCCTCCAAGTTTAACTTTAGGGAGGTTATGCCCATTTATGTTCCAAATATGAGAAAATGTTTATTTTCCCACATTCTTATTATACTACTAATTGTCATAATTTTATCTTTGTCAGTTGGTTAAATGTTGGGGAGGTTTTGTTTGGTTTTTTCTATTTCTTTGCCTATTATGAAATTGTCCTTTAGGGTTTTTTTGTTTGTTTGTTTGTTTGTTTTTGGCAAATTCTTTGTCAGATGCTAAAAATATTTGCCAGTATGTTCTTCAGGGACTTTTACTTTCACCATTTGCCTTTAGATCTTTTATTTTGGTGTGATAAGGATTTCATCTTCCTTACCACAATTTACAAAATGATCCCTTATCAAACCTTCTGCTCTGGAAGCCTTATGTGTCAGTGTGTCAAGTGGAAAAGGTACAATAGTAGGAGTTATGTGGGTTGGGGTTTTTTTTTTCCCCCTTAGGAGATTATTTTACTGAGAGAGGTCTTCCATCCACTGATTGATTCCCCAAACTGCCCAACAGCCAAAGCCACTTCAGTAAAGCCAGAACCTTCTTTCAGGTCTTCCACATGGGTGCAGGGGACCAAACACTTGGGCCATTTCCAGCTGCTTCCCCAGGCCCAATAGCAGGAAGCTGGATCAGAAGTGGAGCAGCTGGGGTGCAAACTGGCATCTGTATAAGATGTTGGCACTCTAGACAGTGCCATGGCTCCAGTTCAAAAGCTTCAATTTTCTGTTAATGATACATCTTTTTCAATTTCATTTACTTATTTTAATATTTGTTTTTTTACTTGATCTTCTATTTGCTGGGTCATTCCCATATGGCCATAATGGCTAGAGCTATGCCAGTCAGCAGGAGTCGTGGGGTCTCCTACGTGGTTGCAAGGTCCCAAGGACCTGGGCCATCTGCTGCTTTCTCAGGCGCATTAGCAGGGAGCTGGATCAGAAGTGGAGCATCCAGGACCCAAACCAATGGCCTTATAGGATGTTGGGACCAAAGGTATAGGCCTGACCACAGTGCAGCCCCAACCTCTGGGTTTCAACTAATCTTGGTAGCGCCAGGAATGAAAATGTTTACCTAGTTATGGCAGAGAAGAAGGTGAGCTTAGTGTTTACTATATGGTACTCCTACTTGAAATGAGTTGACATATTGATCCTGGAATGTTGGTAAAGATAGCAGCTGAGAAAGTTTTACTTTTGAAAGCTTCTGTCATAAGCAGGGCCCTTCCCACCATCTATGCTACTGTTTTGTTAGGTGACCTAGAAATAAAAATTGACAATATTTAACTGCACTGACTAAGCTGTTAAAATTTGAGAAGTTCCCCCTAACCAGTTTTTTTTTTCTTTTTTTTTTTTTTAAGATTGAAATCATGGCAGGTCCAGAAACTGATGCCCAATTCCAGTTCACTGGAATTAAAAAGTATTTCAATTCTTACACGCTCACAGGCAGAATGAATGTAAGTATTCACCCTTTTAAGCAGTTACATTTTAGATAAATACAGTTGTAACAACTCTCGGCATTCACTTTTCTTTCAGTGTGTACTTGCCACCTATGGAGGCATTGCTTTGCTGGTTATGTACTTCAAGTTAAGGTCTAAAAAAACCCCAGCTGTGAAAGCAACATAAGTGGTAAGAAGTTCATTTCTGTTGACTGATTGTGTCTAATTAAAAAAAATATATTTTTAATTTATTTAATATCATCTTATGACACAGTTTCATGAGAAAAACCTTTCATCTGCTGGTTCACTGCAGATGGCCGCGTCCAGAGCTGAGCCAATCAGAAGCCAGTTGCTCTTCCAGGTCTCCCACATGGGTGCAGCATCATTCTCTGCTGCTTTCCCAGGCCATAAGCAGGGACACGAATCAGTGCCCATATGGGATGCTGGGACTTGTGGGCTGAGGATTAGCTAGGTGAATCATTGCACCAGCCCGTGTCTATAATCTTAATAATTGAATACAGTAGCAAAGTTTTTTAAGTTTGCTGGTTTCTAATCTTTATAGTCTTTTTTTTTCTTAATCTCCATGATCCTGTTTGATAGTCGTTAACAACACACATTCATAAACAATCTGTTGAAGTGGCAGGTGGTTACATGGAAAGCCCCAAATCCAAATCTTCCTTTAAAGTAGTTAGTGCTACCTCACAGACAAAATGTTTTTCTAGAGTTTTTCTCAAATCTGAAAACTGTTCATCTTAGGTAACTACCTACTCCAGAATGTAATGGCCTCTGGCTTATTCCTGACAGTACTTTGCCTGGTTAGTGTTATTTTAAGTACTAGAGGTTTCTAGTAATTTGTGTTTAGGATCATATTGAATAATTGGAAGCTCCTTTGTTAAAGGTGGGTTAGTGTACTAAGCTGAGACTTTTTTTTTAAGTTCAGCTGACTTTTGAGAATCAGTTCTGGGGATGCAGAATCTTTATACTGGTCATTGTTGAAGTCTTAAAAGCACAGTTGAACATATTTGTGTCTCACCTGTTTGTGTTTGTTTCTAGGATTACAAATTGTTTCCCCATCCGCCCCAATGACTGAAGAAGCTAATTCAACTCAACATGTGGTAACTCAGTTTGTACAATAAATTATGAACCTGGAAAAGCTGGTTGTCTTTATTTACAAGATATCAAAAATATAAAAACTGTACAAAATGCAACAAAGGCAAAAACTGGCAGTGACTTGGTCTAAATCTTTTAGTTTTCCAATGCAAGGCTCAGTACTGGAGGTAAGCAACTGAAATGTCTGGCTTCAAGTGTACTAGGTTGGATGTAACTGTTTTAGCTGAAGTAGAACATGGAAGCTAAATTTCTTCACCTGGTTTAGAAGTACTTGAGTACACTCAGAACTCAATAGGCATAAATCTAGATGCCAGTGCATGGTTGTACTACACCTAGATCTTAGAGAACTGTAGTTTTTCCCTACCCAGTTACATACAGTCCACTAATCACGGGTCAAGAACAAAAGTTAGTGGGTCTTTTAACATAGTGCTTGATGACATACAGTAACTACGTTTTTACAGCAGAAACACATGCTCTTAGAGTTCTTCAGCTAAAATTCAAGATGTTATTAATTTTACATTTCTTAATTTGAGTCTTGAAGCAGGATGTATTATTGAATTTTTTTTCTAAACATAATAAATTAAAATAACATTTGAACAGAAAATGCATAGTTTCCACACAATCCAAAGCACCATAAATGTCCCCTCCACGAACATAATACCTCTATTCAACTAACGGAAATTAGTTAAATGTGGTTGCTATAGAAACGTGGAACCGTCCTGTTCAGATTTTCCAAGCAGCATACTTCCAGATCCATATAGATAAAAACATTCTTTGTAGCTTAAATATTCACTGAGGTATTTGCTTTTAGTCTCCCTTTTTCAAACAGTAGCTTCCCAAAGGTCTTCAATATTGATGGTTTATTATGGACTGTAAGCTCCTGCAGCTAGAACCAGGTTTCTTCTAGTAAAATGGAGGTGCACAACTGGTGTTGATTTGGTCATATATGTTCCTAGCAGTAACTCCTGTGAATTCTCAGGTAAGTTTATATGCCCAGTGGCTGTAGTAAAGTCATCAGTCTCTAAATCTTCAAATGCTTTGATAGCATCCCATAACCGAACTGTATTGTCCATTGAACCTAAGGCAAAGCCAAGGAGACCATTAGTTGCATCCACCACATTTTAGATGACATCTTGCCAAATATAATCTATGCATTTGTTGTGTTAAGTATTTACCACCAAACCAATCACATTTACCTGATGCCAAAATTTCGCCATCTCTACTGAACCTAAGTGAGCAGACTGTATCAGTGTGGCCTTTTAATTCTCCAACCATCAAGCCATGTCCAATATCCCAAAGGAGTACTCTGCCATCTGTTGCTCCTGTAGCCAGGAATCTCCCATTGGGAGAAAATGTCAAGGAATGAATTGGTCCCTAGAAAATAAGCCCATGGAAAGGACCAAAGTGGAGTTAAGCATATCTTTTTACAAAGAATTTTACAATTTATTGGTATGGTTTTCAAAATGTGCACATAGGGGTTGACGTTGATAAAACCACTGCCCAAGATGCCAGCATCCCATATGATACTTGTTCAAATCCCAGCTGCTCCAGTTAAGATCAGGTAATGCTCCTGGAAAAGCAGCAGCAGATGCCCCAACTAAGTACTTGGATCCCTAGATCCTGCACCCACGTGGATAACCCAAATAAAGATCCTGACTCCTAGCCATTGTCATTTGGGCAGTGAACCAGCAGATCTCTGTCTCTTCCCTCCCTTTAAGATTTATTTTTATTGCAAAATCAGATTTATACAGAAAAGGAGACACATCTTCCATTTGGTGGTTCACTCCCCAAATGGCCATAATGAGCAGAGCTGAGCTGAAGTCAGGAGCCAGGTACTTCTTCTAGGTCTCCCACATAGGTGCAGGGTTCCAAGGCTTTGGGCTGCCCTCTACTGCTTTCCCAGGCCACAAGCAGGGAGTAGAATGGGAAATGGAGCAGCTGGGACGTGAACTGGTGCCCATTTGGAATCCCAGTGCTTGCAGGTTGAGGACTTAGTCATTGAGCCATTATGCCAGGTCCTATACTCCATATTTCTAATGCAGCGACCTGCTAATGGGCCTAGGAAGCAGCAGCTGCTGATCAAAGTACTTGAGTTCCTGACTCCCACATAGGCAACCAGGTCAAGTTCCTGGCTCTGGCCTGGCCTAGTCCAGCATACTGTGGTCATTTAGGAAGTGAATCAGCAAATGGGAGCCAGCTTTGTCTCCATCCCTACTCTGCCTTTCAAACCTTTTACAAAAAGAAAGAAGACGGGGCCAGTGCCGTGGAGTTGTAAGTAAAGCCTGGGCCTTGGCATCCCACATGGGCACTGGTTCAATACCCAACACCTTCACTTCAAAATCAGTTCAGTGCTAATGTGCCTGGGAAAGCAGAATTAGAAAGATGTAATTCTGAGATCCTGCACTCATATGGGACCCCAGAAGTCCCTGGCTCCCAGTTACAAATTAGTGCAGCTGCAGCCTTTCGGGGAATGAACTGCGAATGGAAGATCTCTTTCTGTTTTCTCTCTGTAGCTCTGCCTTTGAAACAAAATAAATTGAGGCCTGGCATGATAGCTTAGTGTCTAAAGTCCCCGCCTCGCATGCACTGGGATTCCATGTGGGTGCCAGTTCGTGTCCTGGCGACCCCCCTTCCTAACCAGTTCAATGCTTGAGCCTGGAAAAGCAGCCAAGGACAGCCCAAAGCCCTGAGACACTGCACCTGTGTGGGAGACCCACACTGAAGATCCAGGCTTCTGGCTTTGAATTGGCACAGCTACAGCCATTGCAGTCACTTGGGGAGTAAATCAACAGACAGAAGATCTTCCTCTGCCTCTCCTCTCTGTATATCTGACTTTGCAATAAAAATTAGTCTTAAAAAAGTAAATAAATAAAAAATAAATCAGGCCCAGTGCAGTACCTAGTGGCTAAAGTCCTCACCTTGCACACGCCAGGATCACATACGGGCACCAGTTTGAATCCCTCTGCTCCACTTCCCTTCTAGCTCCCTGCCTGTAGTCTGGGAAAGCAACAGGGGACAGTCCAAAGCCTTGGGAACCTGCACCTGTGTAAGACCCAGAAGAAGCTCCTGGCTCCAAATTGGCTCAGCTCTGGCTGTTGCAACCACTTGGGAAGTGAACCAGCAGACAGAAAATCTTCCTCTCTGTAAATCTTCCTTCCCAATCAAAACAAATGACTCTTTAAAAAAAAATTGGGAGGCAAATATTGTAGGAGATTATTTCTCTAGTCACTCTGCCTTTAGCTGATGAAAAATAAACATCAGTGTGTGCTAGAGCAATTAATATGAAGTACCTTGTGTCCAGTGAAGATTCTTACACAGTTACCATTTAAGACGTCCCAGAGCCGTACAGTTCTGTCTGCAGAGCCCGTAGCAACATAATTAGAATTTGGATGGAATCTGGTGCAGTTCACATCGGCTAGATGGCCAGCAAATATCCTTAGAGGTTGATAGTGATCTGTAGCCCACAGCCTTTTTAAAAACATTCAAAGCAAAAGATACTTAGCAAGTTATGGAATACCAAAATCCTCTCCAGAATAAATACAGAGACATCTAGATGAAATGGTTCCAAATAAATTACATGATTAAGAAGACAAAGTGAAACTCACTTACGAAGATAAAAGTTCATCTGGAATAAAAAAATTTTAACTTTTGTAGTTGTTTAGATACATTCCCCTCTTCTCTTGGCTTAACCTTCAAAAAAGTACTTTTCCTGAGTTTTGGCTACCATATAATTCATTTCTAACCTGAGCTATTTTATACTTGAGTTTTAAGGAGGTGCTGGAAACAAGGTGCTGACAATGGTAATGGACAAAAAGGTTGAACAGGTGGTGAGATGAAGTTTGTTAACCTAACTACAAAAACCAGGGTTATAACAAAGTAGACAGGATCATAGACATAGTAATAATTCTGACTGAAAATCATTTTTCAAATATGGAGTTAGAGATGTTGATGGTTGGCCCTGAATAGTTAAAGTTTGGCTGGGGTTTTTTTAATTCCCAACAAGAACCATTCTGTTGCTTGAACACACCCAGTCCTGAGATCATAGCGTTCTTACCGAGCTACACGGTCGTGGCCCCCTGACACAAAATAGTATCCATAGGGAGAAAACTGTGTGTCCCATACTGGGTAGTTGTGTCCTTTATATCCTACTAAGCAAGTAAATGTTTGAAGGCTCCACAATCTGACAGTTCCATCCTCTGAAGAAGAAAGCAGATAGTTCCTGAGAAAAGAGAAGGTGACATAGTTAATTCCCAAAACTACTTTGGTCATTTGCCCAGTTTCTCCATAGGAAAATATCCTATATACAGCTAACTAGCACCAACATCCTACTTTTAAATCACAAACAGCATTCACAGTGGAATGAGCTGAAAGTTCTCAACAAATAAACAATAACTACCTAAATGCTAGCTCTGACACTTTGCATATACTGAACACCACTGAGAGGTTCAGTTACTTTTAAAAACTTAGAATCTATTGAGGGAAAGTCAAAACATAATGAACAAAAAAGGTCAACTGAGAAAATTTAGAAAATATAACTTCAAGCAAATTTTGGCTTAAAACTAATGCTATTTTTCAGTTTGTATTAACTATAAAGAATTAAAAAGGAAGTACTCTTTTTGAAATAATAAAAATCTCATAAACTAATAATGATCTTCCTTTACAGGAATAAATGCCATAGCTGAATGCTCAGTAAATATTATAGTATTCACTGAAATCAGAGGTTTCCTTCAAGTAAAAATGTACAATCTGGCTATACATTATCAAGCAACAAAAGCCTTAATGGACTAAAAGTTATTATCTGTCTGAGTAATATACTAAAGGTTTTATGAATGCACAATGCTCTATTTCTCCTATTTCTGTAGAATGTCATATGAGGAGGGGGCCAGAGCTGTGCCTAACGAGTAAAGCTGCTGCTTGCAGCAGGGGCATCCCATATAAGTGCCATTCGAGCCCTGATTCTCCACTTGAGATCCAGCTCCCTGTTACGGGCCCCTGCACACATGCTAGAGACCAGAATGAAGTTCCTGGCTTCAGCCCAGCCCT